AAGCTGGTGGAATTTTTTTAAGTCAAGTCATTCACAAATGCTATATCTACCCTCGACAGGTCATTTCATTCTATTTAGCACATTTTATTCTCTGTGGTTTATAAGCTCTTAAGCAAATGTAAGAGGGAGGAAAAGCTAACGCATCTGATAATACACTATATCAGGCTGACAACCTAACTAAATTTCCCCTATGCTGCTAGCAAAATGCTGTTCCAAAAACTAATAATGCATACAAAAAAAAAAAAAAAAAAAAAAAAGAGAGAGAGAGAAGTGGAAAAAAGGGATCATAGAGATCATGCCGTCACATTTAATTTCAGAGAACAAAACCTGAAGCTGATTTCTCTTTAGATCAGTTGTATACCAGTTGGAACATGGGTGCCTAGCACTGCGACAGAGTAATATGATCTGAGCTTTAAATAGCTGCCAAATAACCATGTGGTGGCTGGCAGCATTAAACGTGTTGCAATGAGAATGATCTGTTTCAAAGTAAAGCCACATAACAGAGTCAATCTGATGTGGTATAGAAAAGGGGGGGGGAACGTTTTTCATTATCTTTCTGGATTTCTTTCTGTTTAAAATGTGTTTCCATCTTAAAGATGCATTAGTTTAAGGTGTTTTTCTTAACTATTTTAAAACCTGAATCACATGCAGGTCATTTCGGAGAACATCTCCTTCGGCACCCAGGCACAGGGTGGAGGGGGATGGTGTGCCAAATGTGAAGTACCACCACTGAGACCATTCCCTTGCTGCAACCCAGTTCAGGGTGTCTCCCTCCTGCTGTGAAAAGCACCTTCCCTGCCCAAAGGCCTTCTTTAGTTTGTACCAAATGCATGCTTGGCAGTTTTTAGGAACAGATAAGGAACAGATCTACAGCAAATAACATGGGGTGACTTCAGCTCCAGGCCCTCCCCTTATCCTCACAGCAAAATGTGAAGCCTTGCAGCACTCCAGGACGTAGGTAAAAACCAGGTGCAGAGTTTGGGGATGTCCAATATAGGAGATGCTGCCAGGTCTCCATTCCTTCTTACCGTCATGTCAAATGGTTCTCCTGATCCCTATTGTCAACATGTCTCCTGTGCACATGAGTCACATTGTGGACTGGAAAGATAGACCAGTTAAAACTTAGTAACGTGAGTAAGAGACATGGAGGGAAAAGCAGTACTGTAAATACTTGTGATTCTTCATCCCTTCTGTCACTTTTGATTATAGACCAACTTCTGTTTTCAATTTCAGTGTCTCCACCAACATCAGCAGCAGCAATCCAGACTTACTCTAAGTTAACACAGCAGAATTTCACACGAACATACTTTATCTAGTCTTCACTGCTGGGAAATCACACTGCTGAAAGGACAGGCAGGAATTGGAGAACCAGAAGAAAAGCCAGCTGCTGCCTCAGAAGGTGAATAACTCATTTAAGATGCTAAATATGACTTCTTGAAAAAGATACTGAGCACAACATACTTTGCAGCCAGTTAAGATTTTGCCAGAATGGAGACAGCAATACAGACCCTACTTCACAGTTGTCCTACTAGCAGTTTACCAGCACCCTATAGAGTACAGTCTCAGTTGCAGCAGCTAGGCACTCTCCAGAGAAAAAAAGTAGGCTTTATTTTGCATTTCCTCAAAGGAGAACCTTGCTTTACCTCAATAATGTAAGTGTCAATGAACAGTCACATATTTCATGAAGCTCAGCTCCAGTGAAACGTCCAGCTGCCGCCCCAATGAGTAACAAGGATAAACTAGAGGCAAATCCTTTTCTGACTGCTTTTGTCCGCAGCTGCCTTTGCCATGTTGTGTCAGTGCATCCTCCAGGAATCCACAACAGCTGCACAGCGGGCTGGCAGAGGCATCACAGAGAGACACTCACCCTCCATTCTCTCCCTCCTTTCTCACCTCCATCCCCTTGTTTTTCTCACTGCCTCCTTTGTGGGTAGTCATGGTCCTTATCATGTTTGCACTGGACAAGCGGACGACTGTCAGATTGAAAATAATCAGAAAATGCATCTTTCCTACTTGTTTCTTTTACCATCATTTTTGCAAACATGTTACTTAAAAAATAAATTAAAAAATCTCTTTTTTTTCCAATATGACCACAGGCTATTAAGTGAGCCAGACAACTAAAAAAAACCCAAAAAAACCAAAAGACCAACCAAAACCAAACTCAAAAGCCCATAGATTTGTAACGAACATAGGTTTTTTACCAATTTCACAGACTATTTTGATTACAGTATTTAATCCCTTTACAATTTTTTATTCAGCTCTAATCATGAAAATCCCTGCATCACCACCAAGGATTTGGTAGACAAAAAGCATATCTGGAAGAATGCCATGGAGTGAGTCCCCTTAGCTGGTTTGTTTTCCTCAAGTTCTTACAAACCCATTCCCCTGCGCATAGTTCAGAACAGAGATAGACTGTGCTTTTAGGTAATATCTGTACAGAAATGCCTCCCCACCACCCTCAGCACTATTCCCTGGTCTGCAGCAGCTACTTACAATGCATCGTGTGCTTTGGAGGGAAAAAGCAACCTGTCCCCCCTCCCTGTTTCAGAAGGAACCTGACTCTTAGCTCTGCTATTAGGAGAAGGTGGTATCCAATTGAGGCAAATCAATGGAGCTAATGCACTATTACCGAAAGTGTGAGTTTGAATGAAGAATTTTTGAATATTCCAGCAATTCCTACTGACACCAGAAAGGACTCCTGAAGTTCTTAGGAGGCCCTCAGAAACACCTTGGATCTTCAATGGCCATTGCATTCACAGCCTGACCCGAACCGTTGTCTCCAAAAGAGGCTGCCTCGCACAGAAGAGCGTAACTAATTTAGCTGCATAATGGAGAGCGTTCTGAAGATGCACATGGGCTGAATTAAAGGCTCCACAGGAGCCTTTGGCTCTTTCCTTGCAGAGTTTATTAGTTGCTGCTGCACACATGGTTAGGTTTGCTGGAAGAAGTCCAGCTCTGAGGCACCTCTCAATTCCTTCAGCTTCTAAAAGTTGCAAGAAAGTGGCTCTGTATTGCCCCCTCTAAGCTCTTGTGGAGAAGGACTCTCCCCTGCAGAGAAGCAGACAGGGTTTGGGAGGGGCACCTAGTCAAATAACTCTTGATTATTGAATTTACCTCCAAAATTACCAGTGAGTATCCTAGACTGTAAAGGGGGTAAATACCAACAGATTGTATTGTTTGAGAAACAGTATGTGATTGTGTAATTAAGGGCAGGAATATAATACCATATGCACAAGGGTCAGGGTTAATTTCAGCATTTCCTGACTAACCAAGGGCATTATGGTGTAAGCCTAATGTTCTCCGGATGGCTATCATTTATACGGAGTTCATATATATGCTTATGAATATTTGGTTAAAATTCACACATCATACTCTCTGACACAGTAATTAAAACGACCATGTCAGCTGCCAATAGAAATATTTCTGTGATTTGGTAATTATTCCAAATCTCAAAGTCCCAGCTCCCCTACCCCCCACCCTTGTTATCTTGCTGTTCTAAAATGTATAAAGCTAATCTTGATGATGGGAAAATAAATAAGTAGCAGGAAAGGCTGGAAAGCTTCCAATCACAAAAGCTCCCAAAATGGAAGCAATATCCAATCTGGCCCACCACATCTTCTAGGTGGGCACTCCTTTTCTGCCTTTTAGTGATGCTTTCAGTATTCATAACAGCTGTGTAATTAAGCATTATAACAAGAAGAAACCAACATGCAGTCTTTACTTTTCCCCATCATTCCCAAACTACTCTGCATTGAGTTACAAAGTGAAAACCAACACACTCTCAGGCGGATTTAATTTCAAGTTGGGCCCAATGCCAGACAGTTTCCCCATTGTTAAAACCCTACCCCATCTTTTCCATACCATGCATACAGTCCCATCCTTACCCCATCTTCCAAACATATGTGCACACACACATACACAGAGAACCAGACACTCCTACAATCAATATAGAACCAAATCCAACTCCCCTGCTGTCTTAGCTAGGCTCATTGCTTTCGTTGGGATGACTAGTAGGCAAGTTGGATTTGGTCTTTAATGTGGATTTTTAATATTTGGGAAAATGAAGGCTACATGAAATATACATTTTTGTGTCCTAGACATTGTCTTCATAATAAACCTTTTTTAATAAAAAAGTAATTTTACACAACCAGGAACCAGGAAAATGTTTTGTTGGAGAAGCCAATTATTCTAGACAAAAATAAAAGGGTTAAAACTTGGTTAAAATATTAATGCTATAATTCAAAGTACAATTTTGGCATAACTTCAGTTAGTGATTTAACTACAGTATTTTGACTTACAGAATCAAGCAAGATACATGGATTTCAGAACACAGAACTATACAGCTTTCAAATGCATACAGAAAAAGGAAACGTGTAATGGAACAAGTTAGGCTTCTACATGTACAGACTAGCACGAGGTCACTGTTCACAGCAATTGTCTTTTTTTCTTGTCCTCGTCCCATGGATGCTGCATGAACAACTGCACTCTATTTTTATAAAGTGAAGACAGGTTTGCTTATACTAAAGCTAAGGCAAGTAGTGGAAAACAGGAGAGGGGGTAGATTGAATTACTGTGTGCAAATGTTTGTTCTCTCCTCTACCTTGTACCATTCTCCACAAGTAGAAACACAAAATAAATGTTAAAAGTCAAATGTATAAAATGTTGACTTGGCCCACTTCATGTTGGGCTTTTGGTTGCAGAAAATTTTTGCCTTCCTCTGGTTGCAAAACTGCAAAAACGCTGCTAATAGTACAATAGGGACAACCACATGTGTACTTTCTAAAGAATTAAAAACAACTAGTTGAGAGTAAAGGTGGTTTCCTGCTGTAATGAGTTTTGTGTCCTTTACCCTTAAACAAGTAACAGAAGAACTTCCAGAAGTCTGCCTGCACACTTAGGATTGCCATAAAGGTAATGTATAAAATTGTGTTCCAGTTTACAATTGTGATGAAGCTTCACTAGGATTCCTTTCCTACTGTATTCCCTTCAGCAGTGTACATCTAGTCTGAGTGTAAATAAATGGAACGCCCTACCAACAAGAACAGCATCCCTGCCAGTAAAGCAAAAAATACTCCTATAGGAGCCAGCATAAAAGACCAGCCATAATGCACATAAACAGCAAAGTCTGGGCAATCCATCTTTTTCATGTTTGTGTAGTTTTCCAGATCAGCCATCGCCTGGACCCAGATGACATACATCATGACTACCAGCGAAAAAAAGACACCTGGAAAAGAAACACCAGGTTTTAACAACAGTGTGAGACATTTAGTGTAATACCTAGAAATCTGTCAATACTTCAGGTCCCGTCTGCAAGACACAGTCAGCCACCACTGGACATTTTTTGCCTTTGGCTTCCTTTAACAGGCCCTATCTTGATCTTGCTTCTGATTTGCACTGAAAGTCATATTCTCATAACAAAGGATATATGTTACTTTAGTAAGCACACTGAAACCCAGGTGTGTTTAGGGACAAAATTTAAACAGGTATTTACTGTTCTGAATTCAGGAGCCAAGAGAGAATGGAACACAATGACCTGGAAAAAAAAAATAACTACTTTCTTTTTTTTCCAAACTCTGACATTGTTTCTATTGCAGTGTTTTGGATGAGATATGAAAAGGGGGAAGGAGCAGAAAAATCTTTCTATCATCTTCACCTATCTACATTTGCTACTTTTTTCTTATGAAAAGGGCTTTATTTGGAACATACTACCTTAAGTGTATTCTACTCAAATATTTAATTCAAGATCCTCCATATTAGAAAAGAGGTTCCTGGTGTAGGAACAAAACCAAACAATAATGAAATAATAGCTATGAAGCAGGCTATTAGTATTAGCCTCAGATTGGATACAATAGTTTCCTGGAATTAATTCACCACATAATTCACAGCCTTTTCCCAACCACTCCTCTGAAAAGCCTTTGGATTGTTTCTACATGATAGTAATAGGAGCACATGTCCTTACAAACTTTGCTAATCTCTTTGTTACTATACACCAGAAGGAGATATAAGAAGAAAGTACTTTCCAAAGTATCAGTTGCATTCCTAATATTTCATTTCACTTTAGAGGAATGTGGACACTTGAGAAACGCATGCCTGCAGCACAGATGCTCCAGCAGAAGATTTGGTAGAAAACTGAGGGCACAAGTCTGAATATTTTGCATGCTCCAGCCTGTACCCACTTGCTCCCTTAGGTCCAGCTGTCACGGCACAGTTACAGCAGTAAAACTATCTATGCCAACCCATTATGTTTTTACCCCAGGATGCTTATATGCCTCATTAGAATCACAAAATCAAAGTGCATACTTCTGGGAACATTTCTTGCCAAACCTGAGTCTACAGGCTGTAAAGCTGTACAGTATAATTAAAGGAATTTGTGGTCTCTTCTCCACCCTCCTAAATACTTACAATGCAACCATGAACAAATGCGACATTTGTGGCAAAACCCACAAATGTACTTTATAAGCACCCGTGGACTGGCATTTGCTTCCACGTGTCCTGGTAATCTTTCATGATTACCTTTCCCCATCCCCATCCTGTGATGCTGCTTCACCACCTTCTTTGCCTGCCCTATTCCTGTTAGTACTTTATCGTCAAAATGTAATAGCTCTACACTGTGGACATCCTGAACATCTGACAGGTGAGAGCTCACAACTCAATGTTTGTGAACACTACCTTTTGAAGCCCACCAAAAAATAAGATGAAGTAATAGACATAAGGCATAATCCCAAAGGATCTGCAACTTTTATGAGGCTGAAAGAAAGTGGAAAAACTAAATAAAGAAGGAGGCAGACACATTTCCTGTCTATGAAATATACTTCCAGGATTACATTTTTGCTAGGGCTCAAATTCCTAACAAAGTTTATAAAAATCCCAATGCTCAGCTCTAAAAGGCATAAATTCATTTTGAAAGTATTTTACCCAAGTAAAACTCAATTCTAATGGAATTGAATACTGCTCTTGTATTAAACATAAAACCAGTGAAACAATCACAGAAAAGGATCACCTTAAGGCCAGACATGAAGAATGAGAAATTAAATTGAAGACTTTCCAAATATAAGTCAAACTGAGAGGAAGATTCCTATAACAGAACATCTAATGATAACAGATAATACAGGCAACATAGGAAAATTAGAAGCAAACACAGCTAGTAACTTTTGATGTAAAAAGATTCAGGGCCAAATTTATAAATGGAGTTACTAGAAACATGGAGTTAAAATGTCAAAAAAAATTAAAAAAAAAAAGAAAAAAATTATAGCCCAAAGATTTGGAAATATACATTAATGATATGACAAACTCCATATGAACATTGGAATTCACCTCTTCAGATCCTGTGTTATTTTCAAATATCTGTAGTCCTCTATTTATTCTTGAGGCAAACTTATTCCAAAATGATAATAATTACAAAAAGTGGTGATGCATATTCACTTACTACAGTAGCAGGCAAGTATAACCGGGCTTTGCACATCTGACATGACCTCTGGTACCCTGGGCAGATACAACACTAAGTAGCTCAGTTAGTCAGAAGCATCTACCATGAAAACAAGAATCTAGCAGAGGTGCTTAAATCTCAAAATGGGCACCCCTTGCTCTTCGGGCAGTCCAAGACACCTAGGTGGTTAAAACAGAGCCAACACCACATAGGTGCAAAATAGCAAGGCAATGCTGCCAGTGGTAAAGTGACTTCAGGGAAGGTAAAATCCATGGGGTGACTTCGCAGCAAGCTGCTAATACCTGTGTGTGGCAAATTGTTGGGTATGGAAATTTGCTGAAGAAACGTATGTCAAGCAGAGATAAATGTCCTTCTTTAAAAGAGAAGGAAAGAGACAATATGTAAACCTTCTTATTTAATTAAAGCACTAAAGGAGTATTTAAGGGTTCTCACTATCTGTTAATGGAGGCTAATTAGTAGGTATATTGCTTAGTGTGTTCAAGAAATGTCTTGAACACTAGTATCAGCCTAAGAAAATACTGACCATGTCCTATTGCCTCCAACAGCATTTCTTTCATTAGTGCTCCTTTTGCTTAATTTTCACAGAGTTGTAATTTCATGGGAGTTAAGCACTTAGGAGTTTACTGAATATATATTTATTCTGGGAAATCTGTTCCTGCAGTCTTGCACTATCTATTTTGAATGTTATGAACTCTCATAGCCAAGCTCCAGGGCAAAATTACTGAGATTGAAAAAAAAAAACCTCCACAATTTCATGAAGCAAATATTTTTAGTAATAATGTGTGCTATGATGTATTTCTACATTTTTGGCATTTAGACCTTTTGCATAGTGTGCGGCTGTCCGTTTGCCCTTGCCTTTTAGTGAATATAAAATAAAACAGCAGTTGCATGAATCAGGAATGATGGGGGAAATTATTCCTAGAACATGAAATATGTCTGAGAGAGATTAAGACAAATAAATACTTCCCTCCTCCTTTTTCTCTCTTTTTGTGCCATTTTGCATTTTGTTTAAGAACACACATGTCTGATACACAGTTCTGTGCCGTGTGATAAGACATGGACTTCTCTGAGGTCACTCTCAAAAAAAATTGCATTCTTTTGAATTTCTTTTGAATTTCTTTCAAACAAATACTTGTGCATATTGCAGAGAAGAATACAGAACCTTTAGAAATGTCTATGAATTCAAGAAGCAGTTTGCTGGCCTTTAGTACTTATTCTTCCCACGTAGAAATGCCTTTCACTTGTCAATGGTGAATGGCTGTTTATGGCATGAATCTTTTACTATGCAGACACGAAGACAACAGGTGCTGGAAAGAATGATGTGAGCCTTTTACTTGTGCCTGGAAGTTTAAAACTTTTTATCTCACTTGAGGAAAACTTGTATGTGTGTATATATTTTTTTTTTTCCAGTTGCATTTTTATGTCCTTTTCTTCATTACAGATTCTGCCACCTACCTTGGCCTCTTGTGACCTTCATTTAAAAAGCATGGTTGACATTCCACTCTGAAGTACATGCAGAGGATCCCATTTAAGTGTTATGGGAGTTGGCACATATCACTGAAGACAGATTTTTGTCCTTATCTAGGAGCTAGAATTAAAATATCAGCTTTTTCACTCTTTTGGCAGGAAGCAGAAGTCATACTGTACTTCTAATCTTGCTTCTTCAAGAGGTTGTGATTCTGTAATGCTCTATGCATATCCTGGGGGCTTGCTTGTTTGACATCAGTACAAGAGGACAGTTTTCACCACCAGCCAGGCCCAAGGTAATTATGGATTTTACTGAAGGCCGTTTAAAGTGATCATTTTATGACAGCCTTCCCTTCTTTTCCTATGATTCCTATGACCTTTGAAGCAACTATAAGGCTTTTTACAGTTTGTATTACTGTAGCTGCTCTTAGTCCATTCTCTGATACTGTAGACATGAAGGTGAGGCTGCAAAAACAGCGCTCAAGTCACTGACTGTAGTATTGTTGAACTGATACGCCCTTTTCCTCACAGGTGTACCATCTGTAGTTTCATGGGCAGCCTCAGGGAGATAATGTGGTTACAAAGCTTAACAGAGGAAGCTGAGAGTCAATAAGCTGCCACCAATGCCAATAATTGTGTGTGCCTCTCCATTTGTACTAGTTCAGCTGTAGCACTCAATAAGAGAAGTGGGCAGCCTTTCTTCAAGATCAGGATGAAGAAAATGTAGGTGTGTGACTCTCCCACAGATCAGACATCATAATTGCTCTGTGGGTAGGTTTGCTGCTATTCTGGACCTCAGATGTGGACACTGTGGAGGGGCTTCTGAGGTCTCTTTGGTCATTGGAGACCCTTTGCTGTTCGTCCACATGGGCACCAGTGATGCTGGCAGAGAGACCTTGAGTGGATAATTACAGGGCTCTGAGGATTACAGGCAAGGGCATGAGGCCCTGGTGACGATGGTCTCAAACCCGATGCCGAAACAATGAAAACTATATAAATGTTGGTTTACACTCTGAGTCAGCTCCTAGCTTTGTAGCTAGTCTTGCAAAGCAGGTCTTGGGCTTCTGCAACTGTGAAACCCTCTCTGAGATTCAAGGATTGCTGGAGAGAGGCAAGATCCATAAGGCAAGGTGGGAAAAGAACAAGCTCAGTAACCTTGAGAAGAGCTGCAAGCAAGGACTATCAGCAGATGGACATCAAAACCTCCAGATAAGCAGGGGGAAGGGAATGGGACAGAGCAATGAGGGAGGCTCATACACTTCCACTAAGAAAGCAGCACAACTGAAAGCCCATCTCAATTGTGTGTATATAAATAAACCCGCTGTTGGAATAACATAGGAGGAATTCTAGTGGATGATGCCATTACAGCTGCAGACATGGTAAGACAGCTTGCTTGACTGGAGTGCTTTGCTGGATGGATACAGGCTCTTTTAAGAACAGGCAGTTAAGATGGGATGGGATGGCTGCAGCCTGTCTTGAATGGACAGAGATCTAAGTCATAGGAGCTTATGGGTCAAGATCAACAAGGTGGACAAAAAATGGTGTGACCATGATGAGCATCTGCTACAGGCCACCCAATCAAGAAGTAGTGGACTGGAAATACAGTAATGATTTCTGGATCTTACGAGGGACTCGGCCATCCCAGTATCTTCTAGAAAGGCAACATTGCAGAGAGCAAGCAATCTGGGAGGTAGATAACTAGACTGCATCAATGATAACTTTTTGAAACAGGTGTGGAACAGACAAACTAATGGAAGTCCTTTGCTGGACCTGTTATTCACAAATAAGGAAAAACTGGTCAAGAGTGCAATAGATGGTGTCAGCTGTGGTTATAATGGCCATGAAATGGCAAAGTTTAGTATCCTAGAAGGAATACAGAAGGTGAGCAGGAGACTAAAGACCCAGAACTTAAGGAGAACACACTTCAGCCTGTTCAAGAAACTGGTAAGCAGGATCCCAAGAAAGGCTGCTCTGAAGGACAAAGGATGCTCTGAAGGACAAAGGTGTCTAGAATATCTGGTTGTTCCTCACAGGCAACTTCTTTAAAGCACAAGAATGGTCCCTCTCAGTGGACAGGAGTTCAAGCAGGTCTGGCAGAAATGAAAATTAACCTCATACGGAGCACATAAGGAAGAACACAGTCATCAGGTTTGAAAATACTATTATTTCCCTTTTATCAGCATTTTTTGACATCACATCTGGAAAACTGTGTCCAGCTTGAGGCTCTGTGGTGAAAGAGAGATACTGAGGTGATGACCAACAAGATGGCTAGGGGGATGAAGAATGAGGAGAGGCTGAATGAGCTTGGGAGTTTTAGCCTCTTCAGAGGTCTGCACACTGACAAGATGAGACACAGTGATCACAAGCTGCAGCAAGGAAAATTTCAGGTGGATACAAGGAAAACAAATTTCTCAAGCTGGCCAGAGACAAGTGCCCAGAGATGCTGTGAAACATCAATTAGTGGAGATTTAAAAAACTTGACTGGATAAGGCTCCGAGCCGCTTGATCTAACTCTGTAGCCAGCCCTACTTTGAATCACAGAAGGTCAGACTTGATTGACACAAGAGGTCCTTTCTAACCTAAATTTATTCTGTGTCACTCAGGAGCTCTGTCTTGACTCCTTGTATAGCTCCCTCCAAAAGGCAAGTCTATCTGCCTTAGCACATATAAGGCGAAGTGTCCATCTGAGAGTGTGTTTCTTACTATGGATGGTAGAAGTTTAAGTATTTGGTTCATAAAAAACACTTAGCTTTCAGATGGCTGAACAGTTGGCATGAATTCTGTTCCCAATAATATCTTCAGCTGCTTTCTGAACCCTAAGATGGCACAGCAGACCATGCTACAAGCTGTTCTCTTCAATGGAGGCAGAGCTTTTATCTGCCACCTAATTTGTCAGTTGAGGTTGCAAAAGAATACAGATACTTTAGTCCAATAACAGGTATGAAAATTGCTTCATCTAACATTTTTCTTTAAAGATATGCAAGTAGGAAAATGACTGATCTTCCTATCTTCTACTAAATTTCCACAGAACTACCTTGTCTAACTCCTTTCTCATAAGCCTACTATTCTCTCCAGTATAAGAGCTACTTGAACTTTGCGGTAAGACAGCATCCAGGCCCTTTCAAAACAATGTATACAATTCCTTTTTTGTTTTTCAAATTATTATGCTGATTTCTGGTTTACAAGAACTCTAACTTCACCTGTGATTTAGGTCACAACTTTTCATTTTCCCCTTAAGTCTGTGTTTAAATAGATCATAGAATGGTTAGGGTTGGAAAGGACCTTAAGATCATCTAGTTCAACACCCTGGTTGCATCCTGATCACATGTTGGTATGAATGGTAAATATGTACCACTTCTCATCACTTGTCCCCTTCATGTCCTGTTTTCTTTTTATTTTTAGGTCTTCTAGTCTGAAGGAGATGGTTAGAGGAACGGGTCAGGGCAGCAGGGAACACAGTAGAGCGCACCATCCTGCCTTCTAGAGGCAGGCTAAAACATGCCTCTTCTGCATCAGGTTCTATCTTAGCTCTGCCCACAAGTTATCCCAGATTTAAGATATTAACTACTGTGGGGAATTCCTATTGGGAGAGAAAGAAAGATAGCATGCTATCATACCTTTGGGTCAGAGAATCCCTCTTACTCTCCTTTTAACACAATGGGCCATTGATCAGTAACACTACAGTTGAGAAACTGAGCTGTGCCCAAGACATCTCACAGGATACAGCTTAAATTATATCAAATGTAAAGTACAAGCAATTCTTATGTCAGCACGGTCACTCCCACAGCAGGATTTTAATTTATGATATAATTAAACCCTCACCTTGTCAATAGGAGTACTTGTGAGAAAAGCTGAGAGCAACAAGCTTTTTTCAGTGTTTTTATGGGTGATCTTAAGTAGGGTTGGATAATGATGTTTAAAGTGAGTGCCTTCCCCCGCCAACTCCACCCTACTGGTGGGACTAGAAGTAGATACAGAAGAGCTTGGTCAGGAACCATGTCCCCCTACCCAAGCTAAAATGTCTTGTGCAAATGGCTCCAGGGTCCTACAGGCTGCTGCCACCACTACCTTTTGGCAAATCATAGCAGGATTTTGCTAAATATCTCTGCTTTTCAACAACAATAATGGCAATAATAAAAATAACATAGCTATTCTCTGAAGTGCTGATGAGAACAGTTCTGAAGTTGAAAAGTACTATGTACAGAGAGAGTAAAAAGTCAGGATTTCCCTTGAAGAGCATCTGCTCTATAGGAAGAGGGTGAGAGGGGAAAAGAGATAGGCTCAAGGTCACACACTAGGATAATAAAGCTCACTTAACTTCACACATCTAAAGAAATAGTCTCTCTACATTCCCTTTGTAAAGGAAATAGAGGTGTAGGGTTCCTCCATAAGCATTCATCTGATCTAATTAGGCCCCTCTTTCAGGATGAAATGAATCCCCAGCTAGAGGAACTTCTTATGTACCTACTGTTTTTACTGCAAATGAATGTTATTGCCTCTTGCAGGTCTCCTAGGGAAGACAACAGAGACTAGTGCAGACGGGGATTTAACTTTCCCCTGCCTAGAGAAGGGCAGATGAACTGACCCAGAGGGGAGAACAGGCACACTGCTTCGCACCTCTGCCCATCAGTTCCGGGTGTCTTTGAAGTGCCCTTTTCCTCTGTAACAGCCTCTGCTACTTTCTAGTCACAGCTGAGGTTTTTTATAGATCACAAATGCAGAAAAATAGTAGGATTCACATGGGCTCTTACCCTGCAAATTAGTGACAAAAAGCATTAAAATATCTTGTGATTTCCATCAGACTATGAATATTTTTTGTACGGCTTTTAAAAGAGTGGAGGAGTTAATTCTCAAGGGATCAAATGCAAGTATGCAGGAGGTTTTTCAGCAAAAATATTATAAAATACTTCCCACACTTCATTGAGGATCCTTTAAAATGGAATAATGATCACTTGCTGCATATGAAAAGCTGAGAGGTTACGTGGGTAAGCAAGGTCAGCAGGTCAGTAACAGAAGAAGAAAAAGAGCCTGGGCCTTTTGGTCCTGACATGGGTGGCTCTACTGTGTAACAAAATACTGCTCTCACAGGGCTGCCTCTCACCAGGCTTTATAAAAAGGAGAACAGTGACTGAGCACATAATATCATTTACATCCTACACAACTGCACCTTACACACCAGTGTGACATCTTCCCTAACTTTTCAAGGTTAACTGAACAGCATCACAGAGAGCTGCCTGTATCACCTGAATCATGGCAGGGTGTGTCCTCCACAGTACATGTGAGTTATGAGGAAAGAGGAAGTTAGGTTATTTGTTATCTTTCATTCACAGAGGTTTAGAGCTCCCACTTATTCATATGTGACAATTATTTTTTGTACTCCAGTGTGCTCTATCTTCCAAATTCTTTGAGCCCACTGCAATGATCTTTTTTGTCGCTTATTAAAAAAACACTTCTCTTCAGCCCTTGAGAATCCTATAAGGCAGCATCCTTAAATATGCACTCTTTTTCCTGCTAAAAGAGTAGATTGAAATTGCAGTGTAATTCCATGATTTGTCCTGGATTATTATTTTTTTTTAATCCAAAAGTAGCTTTTAGAATAACTTCATGACTAAATAACTGTAGAAAGAAAGAATTGTCTCCATGGCAGGTACTCCACACGCCAAAGAATACAAGCATATGTTTTTTTTTTCTTTTAACCATGAATAATATCATTTTTGGTCAAGGAAAATGGAAGAAATACCTCATCCTTTTTATTCTTTAGTTGACTGAGCAAACAGTATACCCACCAGCAATGAGAAAAAAGCCTCCTCCTGCTTTGTACAGAATGTGGCTGGCAAAAGGAGCTGCGCAGATGATGAAGAAACTAGCCATCACAATAGTGACTACTCCCAGGAGCATGAGAACTGTCCAGAAACCTCGATAAACTGGAGAAAGGGAAGAAAAAAGAATACAACACTTTTTAGAACTTAAACAAGAGGTATATTTGGCTAACAAAGATTTTTAATTCCCTTTCTCTTCTTACTTGCCTTATTAAAAAATAAAACATTCATTCTATTGTGCCTGTAAGTTACATATCATGTGGACTAAATTAGGTTTGAACGTCAGTCCTTATCTGATGATCATGGAAAATAGGTTGTAAATTACCATGAATGAAATCTGTCTGCTTAATATTTAGCAGTGACTTGTAAGATAACAACTTGACCAAATTTATGCTCGTTAGAAAATGGTACACCAAAGCTGTAACAATGTTTCTTTGGGGTGAATGATTGGACTGACAGGATGCAATTGTTTTACCCCAATTGCCTGGGAGAAGCAGAGAGAAGCAGAGAGCTGCAACATCTTGACATTCTTAGTGCTCAGACCATATCAGCAATAGCAATCTGCAAGTTCTCTACAATTTACAACTGGATAATTCTCCTTATATATAGCTATATTCAATAGATGAAAATCTAAAGCAGGAGGCAGCAGAAACTGAAAAAATGTAACCCAGCGTTCTGAAAAACAGTTAAGTATTTTAAACCAGCCTATTTCAGCTCTAAAGCTCTTTGTATTTTATTAAATTTAAAACACAATGTTTCAGAAGCCCTGTTAGTGCCAAGCAGTGCTGAATTAATGGATGCAGCTGGTGATAAATGAGCTGAGAGTTTTGTGACATACTCTGGCCAAAAGAGTCTTTCTAACAATTATTTTTTAGCTGGTTAATTGCGCATCCATTTAACAAAGTCATCATTTTACAAATGCTACAAGAGTGACATATATTTCTCCCATGAATTTAAAAATTGGTACATTAACACAACCCATTAGTAAAATTATGAGTTGCAAAGATCTCCATCGTCAGATCTGAAAATCTTGAAGCACTGACAATTCAGTCAGTGAAAAACATTTCCACCCAACTGAGGGAAAGCAGATAAGCCAGCTGGCAAGTCAGGAAAAGTGAGTCACAAAAGAAACTGCCACTTATCATTTGACAGCACCTACTTACTGTTATGGCAAAACACAACCAAGAAAGTATTATGTTGGTTCGTATCCTGAAAGTTTCCAATTCATACAGCTTGCTAGAGCCAGCTTCTGGAATAATTTGAGCATGCCCTCATCTGAAATCCAGAGGTGCAGTACACATTATCAGCTTGTGCTTCCCACTATGGTGTTCCAAAACATCCATAGTTTTTAACTTGACCAGCTTAACTCATGCTAAAGTATATACCGTCTTGCTTCTGTGTTAGCTAGATCACGTTCACCACACCACATTAGCCACACTTTTAAAATCACTTCCTTTTTAATCCATGCAAACATTCAGAGACATAATTTTCCAGCACACCGGTCAGCAGATTTGGGCATGAAAAGATGAATGTGTCTGAAATAAGCTTGCAGAAGGGTTAAAACTGTGTTTTGATTCATATCCAATACAAGTCTTCTTTCCACATAAACAAAAAAGAATATGGAAATAATAGGTAAGAAATAAGGTTGTGGCTCAGCAAAGCAGTTAAGTGTGTGTTCTGCTCTAAGTACTCTACCTCTTACGGGATTCAGGCACCTGTTTGAAGTTAAACTCATAGTTAAATGATTCACTTAAAGCAAATGGACAGTGAATGGAGACCTAGAGAGGTAAATCTCTCAAGTCCCTCGGTCTTGGGTTTCTGAAGCAATTTCATATTATTTTACTCATGGGACTACTTTGCTAAGCTTCATCGCAGTCCCCAAGTCCATGGGACATTACTTCCTCATTTAAAACCTAATACCGCTAAATCAGTCTATAACCACCCAACTCTTTTACATGGATGGCCCAAGGTACTTCAAAGTCATGCTACATAACAGGACACATTGGCCAAAATGGACCTTGAAAAAGCTTTCTTCGATAGCATTACAGTCACCTAAGTCATAACAGCATTGTTTCTATTTTCTGAATGGATGAGGATACAAGATTCTCCAGCATTACAAAATCAGTATCCAGTTTCATTATCTGCTCTTCATACGGGAAACTCTGAAGTCTGCTTTTAGTGAAATTTTACCAGAAAAGCTTTATGTGTTCAAATATTCCTGGAAACATAATACAAAAGGAACACAAATGTAACTGATGAAAATTTGCTTAAACCTCTCTGTAGCTATACAAGACAAAAGCTGTTTCTCTGCTCCAACAGCATAACTGTTTTATACATTATACATGAAATACTGATTTGACCTAGCTATCACCTGAAATAAGCTTCCATTCTATTTCTCTAGAAATAATTATTTACTCTAGAGATTCACAGATAAATTCTGATGACCCTGATACTTGTTTATCCAGCTAACTCCATCATTAAACATCAGTTAGAAAACAAAGTATAGTTGTCAGGTAAAAAGTCTGCAATGCTCCCAGATCTGCAACTTTTCAAGCAAAAGACTAGCCCCTCTAATTTGCAAGACAGTAAGTTATTTGGATCATTTGTGGCACAGGTCTGAGGAATATCCTAAGAACATTTAGACTTTTTCTTTATCAAGAAGCCATTTTTCTGCAAAGGCCTATTTTCTCTCAGACAATATTTCCCATCTTCTCTGCCCAGATGGTCAAGATCAGTTCCTACAGGGCTAATAATTCAAAATTACAATGCAGCCCTACTGTTGTTTACCTTAGCTGGCATCTACAGAAGAATGCAAATGAGCCAGTTGAAATCAAACCTTCCTAAGAATTAACTTACTCTTCAAGTCAAAGACTCTGCTGCTCTGAGATTGAAGTGAACCATGACAGCTAAAATGCAACAGAAGATGCTGCTTTGAATTATGCTTCTTTATATCCCATGAAAAAGGCTGACACTGTGATCCAAGCAGCCTGTTTCAAGAAATAATGGTTCAGTGTACTTAGGCAAAGTGTTAACATAAGTTTGCACCATTTCAAGTCTCACTGAGGCAGTTCTTAAGATAGCCCATGTTCCGGTCCAGATGACAAAGAGCACGCTTGCCTCTGCAAGGTACTTCAAAGATATGTTTGTTAGCTACCTCAAATACATGCATTAACCAAAGTATTTCTTATAGTAGAAGAATTAAAGTACAAGCACTATCACAGAGTCCGAGGTAAACTTATCTGCAGTGTTAATCTTGGATACCATTGCTCTGTGTTGCAAGAGTGCTAAACAGAAGGTTCTGTAACTTGTCTTGGTAAGCTGCCCCTTTGTCGGGTACAACATTTGCCTTGGCAGTGACAGGCAGGCCTAAAAATAAAATAGTACTTAGAGGAAAACAGGAGTACACACGGTATACTTGTCTGAGTTCTGCACCGTTTGGCCTGTATACTATGGGAACATTATAGCTGCAGTATATTCCTCAAAAACTGCATGACCCGTAGTTTTCCCTTGCTACTTGTTTTTCTCCCTAAAGATGCTAATTTGGGTCCCTCTGGAGACTTCTGCGTTATTTGAAAACTAGAAGTAGTATCTGGATTTGAATAAGGGGCCAAATTTTTGAGAAATACCTGAAAATTATCTAGCACAGTAAGTCCCAGCACTGATTATAAACTAAGACATAGATTCATATTTTAAGATGTTACTGGTGCATGATATGAAACAGAAGCAATAACGTATTTTGACAAAGTTCCACAGTTGTGTCACCTACAACACACACTTGTATAGTAGACATACACAAACACCTCTGAAGCTCCATAATGTGTTAGTCAGGAACAGGTTAGCTAAAATGACAATGTGACACCCATTGACTATAGGAGATGTTAACATCAACCTCATGAAACCATACCACATATCTTATTGCCTTTGCTGACTTCAAGTGTTTTAAAATCTCAGCCATCAGCCCATACATTTTCTATGGCCTATAAAAAAAAAAAACACAACCCAAAACCCAGCCACTTAATATTAAATTTAATATCAACATAAATTATTAAGCACTAAAAATGCTGAAAAACTTCTGAAGCATGTGTGAGTACAGTGTTGCATAAACATTACTAAGGAAAGACAAAACGACTTGGGAACATTGCCTTGAATTTTCACCCACAAGCTCACATCCTAAAGTGAACTTTTCCTGTGATTTAACTGTGGATTGTAATTTAGAATATGTCTTTTTTACCACTTTGTTTCACATAAGAGATATCAAAATTCATTTGACATGAGTATTGCTATTCACAACATAAAATACTGTGAAAGGTGAAGTGCCTGTACTTCTCTAAATCAGGAGTATCTATCTTCTCTGCAGATAAACAACTATGAATGAGGTCAGAGATCTCATCAGCACACAGGAGACACACCTGGTGGCACAGTAAACCTTGCAAGACTTTTCACAGTTTCACTCCCTACCCTTTAACACCCCTTAGTAGTAATAAACCCTTTTTTTTTTTTTTTAATAACCTTAACGGGAAAACAAATACAATATTCACAGTAGGAATACATTACTTTTTAAAAATACTTCTTACTTTATCACTGCTTAGTGGCTGGGGTGTTCTCCCTTAGTAAATGTACTGTATTACAATCTCTCATGGGTAATTATGGGATTGTATTGCATAACAGCATTTTTTTTCCCTAGAACTAGGCTACTGCTAACATTTCACTGTCAAATTTTTATGCTCAGATTTCATTGCTGATATTCTTTAGATTACTTTAGGTTAATTTCAACCCAGTAACAAACCTGGCAATAAATTTGATCACACCATTTTAGATTTAACAGTTGCTGAACCAGAATTTCGCTTCAGCCCTATAAGTGTTGTGTATTCTACATTTTATTAGGCATTACTTCAAATCCTGGCAATATGCCCAGCACTAGACAAAATAAGGTACTAATAGTCAGGAAAAAAAGTATTAGCAGCTACAAATCAGAGTATTAAACTAATATGTCAGTGCAGCCCCAATAAATGTCTTCCAATTCAGCTTCAGAAGGCACCGGGGCAATTTACAACAGTTCAGAAACTATTGTTCATTTCCAAATAAAGTTAAAAAAAACAAACCAAAACAAAACCAAAAGTCAAGAAGAAAATTAGTTACTTAACTAAGTGCTAAATTTTGCACTTCTTTGTCTTAGGAATAATCTCACTGTAGCCAAGGGGACTCCCTGTATAAACAAGTACTTTGTACATTTTTCAAAAAAAGGCCTAGTATTGTCCTGTAGTAAAAGAGTTATAGAAAAGTGTGATAGTTCTTGAATATCACTGTTAATGCATGATACCATGCATTAATCTAGCTAGCAATTAATTATTAAGTACTATACTATTATGATTTCAAAATAGCCTGATAGGATAACCGGTCTGATTATGATTACACAAATGCATGTTTATTTTAGGATGCAGAGGTCACTACCCTGGCACTTTTATTCTATGGGCTAATTTCATATTTTTTTATTCTTAAGTTGTAGTTTGTTGCACATACATTTGTGAATCATCATATAAATGAATCTGCTGGCATCACAATGAGATGCTGTCTAAGTCTACTTAAGAGCTGCACACTGTAATAGCTGTCACTATAAACCACTATACCATCACAGAAAGTCACCAGGGTCAGGCTTCCCCTGAATTCATTTAGATACCTGTTACAGGTTAAGATAAATGACATGGCCTACAAGTTTCTTTAAAGCACATTAACCACAAATGATGGCTAGCACAGCTGTGGACCACATCTTACACTGCAGGTGGGTAAAGTCCTCACCACTGTGCCAAGATATTGAACAAAACTGGTGAATGAATAAAACCATTATAACTGTGATTAAAAGACACAGCAAGCTTTAATTTCAATGTAGTGCTACTTAACCCTTTAAAACTGCTCATGCATCTGACAGTGATGATGAAAAGAAATCTGAAGCATTAAGACATGCATTCAAACTTCCACTATAAGCATCACTGAAGGCTTTTCTGCCTTTACATTTCCATCTAAGGCTATAACTCTTGACACCACGAGCTCATAGTCTAGGTTTGTACAGCAGGATGAACCAAGCCTTTGGTCTAAAGCCTTGTAAGGTATACTGTACCACAGAACTTCAAGATCCTCAGTGTTTTGAGTCTTTTGAGAACTATAATACAAAAAGCATAAAACCAGCACACAGAAAGATGTAAATCAGCTGAGACGGGATAGATTGAGCCTCTTTTGAATTCTGGCAGAGGAAGGTTCTGAGCCAAACTCATGCTGACACTAACACCAAAGGAGCTGTGTCAACAGAGAAATTGGTCCAGACACTGCACTCAAAAATCATCAGAGATCTTATGTCCCTCAGGAAACTTATCTTTGCCTGAGCCTTTCTAACTGGATGGTAACAAGGCACTCCACAAACAAACCACACTTTTGTTTCCACTAGGGGCTCCAGTTAAATCCAAATTCCTCTGATAGGGACCCAAAGTCTCTTAGGCCAGTCTGTAAAACAAGTCACGTTCCTTTGCTTGCTCAGAAAACTAACAGTCCTGTTAACAGGAAGTTAGAGATTTTTAGAAAGATGTGTCGTACATACATATTTTATTGTTCTAATGAAGTGTAAAGCTTTTTATTCCGCTGTTTATTTTTCTGCGAAAGAGCAAACTAAGTATTTTTCAGAATATTTCTTCTTATCTACACCTAATTAAAATAGGACTTAAGAGACTCACTAAAGTTACAGCTATAAACCTGTGTGAGAGATTTCTTTTTTTAACCCCAAAAATGAGTATGTTGAGAAAGTTACGAGCCGTGAAAATGGTAATATTCTATGAAGAAACAGTAGCAGAACCAAAAGAGGGACAACAACTTCAATCTTTCAGTAGTGCCCTTTTGTTCTACGTTTAGCTGATGCAAGGTATTTGATGCAGCCAACTGGATATAAAATAGTTGATGAAATCTTGCTTTTCATGAAATCGAACTAAGGGCTTTTGCCACTGGCTTTTACAGAGAAGTATTTCCTCCATTGTGAATCAAGAAGAGGATAACCTTCTAGCATTTCTTAATTTAGCAACTGCAGTTGCAGAGAGGTTTTAGAAACTTATTTGCCAAATACCATGGGCAGGACTGTCAAACTAGATAAAACAAGAAAAAAAGTTTTAAATTATCAGAAGAAATGATGACATAACCTTCTTCATAAAAAGTTGTGAAAGATTCTTGAACAAGCATACCTGCTCTAGTAAATAACTCAGCTTGGATGCCGAAAACGAGCTGAGGGCATAAAAAAAACCCTCTTCAGTTTTAATGAGCTCGAAAGCAATCCAATAGTATCTATTTATATTAATGGCTTTGAATATACCCTACCTGGGCCAGCATCCTTAGTACAGTTCTGTCTATTTTTAATCTCCTTATATGAGGTATAGATAAGAAAATAATATTTGAGCAGTGGTTCTTTTGGCAAACATTAACTAAAATTAATTAAACTTTTGATGATATTCCTTCTCCTTTCCTTATTCTTTGTTCGTCCACTTCTGTGTAATCATGCAATATGAATTAAGGATCCTTTCTGAATATATGAGTGAACGGTGGAATACAAACTCTGTCTAGATTATTGGGACCTGATGACTCTGTCACTTTCAAGTGGAAAGATAAACTGTTCTAGATGCGCTGTAAAATTACAGATTAGATCTCTGAATGGTAAGGTCTGAATTCTTCCTGGACAAACAGTTCATAATTTCTAAAAAATAACAGAATCATTATCAGTCCAACTTACTTTCTTTTTCATGTCTGCAGCATAAAAAATGGATTCTGAAGGCACTTTAAAGTTAGTAAAGTCATAATTACAGCTTCAGGACAGAAAGGGATCACCGAGTGAGCTCAGAGACATGCAACATGCACACTTCGTGCATCATTTAAAAAAATCCTATGAAATCATCGGAAATTATTTACAATATGTTTGCATGGAGTCCTTGATCTGATGAAATGTGACCAATATTCTTAAGCAGTTTTTCTGAGTTGCAAAAACAGAGCTTTCCAGGCATTACTCAAACATAAGGTTTTCAATTACTGTACATCAGGAGTTTCTCGATGTTAGTATCCCAGTTTAACACAGTAAGTATTATAGAGAATACATATGTATTTTAAAAGAGCTCACTAAACAAACCTGTCTATTGCTACAATCTTAGGCACACACTGTTGAGAGTAACTTCAGTGCCTCAGCTCCCTATACCATCAGTGTAGAGAAGCTGGCACATCCAGCAGTCAGTGCAGTGTGTCTGAATTAGTTAAATAAACTTAGACAGTACCAAAGCCCCTCTACTGCTTCCTCATAAACTAAAATTGCAATGTATTTCCACATGTGGTTATTTATTTAACAAAAACCCCAGGTTTATTGGAATACATGAGAAGTACTTGTTCAAGGAAGATACTTCTTATGTCAGAAAATAAAGCACTTAAAAAGGAAATACCTCTTTTTTTATTTTAGAAATTACCATCATTCTGCTTAAATTATTATGCTTAAAGCTAAGCATTCATTTAAATATTTTGCTAAATATTGGCTTAAATATGCATGTTGTAAAATTATGAGAAGTATGAAACACCAAAACTATTAATTAAACTGTGTGGAGTGATAAGGCTGTTTTATACTGAAGCATACAAATGGTTTTCTTGAAACTACAGGCACTGAATCCATCTGCAGCCAAAAAAATACTTACTGATTGCAGAGTCATAGGCAGTTGAGTTGTGTTCGTCTCGGATAAGAGGAAATGGTGACAGGTAAGCATGTGTACAATTCTTAGAAGGTGACTGGTTAGCTAAAAGTGAAAGATTAAGATTAACATTTTACTGCCTTAACAATAAAATATTTTAAGCATGTTCTTCAAATGGGGAAACTGGGTTTCATAGGTCAAAATTCCAGGGTTTTTTCTCAGGCAATACCTTACAGTGGATTTAGTTTGGTAAGAGATACCAGCCTTGTTATCCAGCCAAGGATATTCCTTAAAGGGCAACACAGATTTTGTGAACAGTAAAGCAGTCTTGCTGAAGGCACACTGCAATTTATATGCAATGCATATATAGGCTTTTATATGCATATGTACCTTTCACTTGTGAGGGTTAATTATGTCCAGCTCACTACTGTATGTCACATTAAAAAAAAAAAAAAAGAAAAAAGAAAAGAAAAGAAAAAAGAAAATAAAAAAGAAAAAAACCCAGGAAATTACTTTTTCTCTTGTGAAAGAACAATGAAAATTATCAAGCATCTTCAGAAAGTTTACATATGAGTTTAGTTTATAGAATCAATATCCCTAGAGAAGGGTAATTTCACCCTTTATATTAAATGCTTATAAAAACATCACCTTCTTCCTTGTGAAAGATAAAAGCCGACTATAGCTTAAATCACATTTAAATTTCAGATTCCTGACCGCAGAATTCTCCAGATAAGTAACAAAGGAAAATTAACTACAGTGTATATTACATTTGCCACCTAAGACCAAGCAATATAGTTAGGAAAACACGGGTTATTGAACTCAAATTTGTATGACGGCATCCTCTTTGATGGCATCCGCTTTTCACAGGATTGTGGAAATCTTATAATAAGGGTAGGGAGCTCTGTACCTCAGAGATAGGGTCAAAGATAGGAAAAGAAGTTTTCCTTGACCTCTCTTCTTGGGAGATTTTGGTAGTAAAATACTACCTGCATGCAGTGAAAGAAAGCAAAGGGTCATCTGTGAGTTTAGTAGAGGAATTCTTCTGGAGATGATGTGCCCTACACTGTTTTCACAGCGACAATGTCTATGCCTTCCTTAACCCACTTGTAGAAATAGCTGGAAAAACTCTCCAACCAAAAATTCACAGACCGTCCTAACCGCTAAGCTCTATTTCCGTACATTGCAGAAAAAACCAGTCTGTTTAACATAAGTAGCAAGAGACTGTCCTGATAAGAATGGACTCAGGTTAACGAGACAGCTACAACACTCACGGAGTAAGTTGACAGTTAAATGTGTATCATTTTGTCCTGGAGTTTCCTTTAACACACAAAAATATTTGCCAAGAATTCACTTTAGGGTAGCTAAAGAACCTGACCACTGAAGAAGCCGTAAGAAACCCAGTGATTCATAAGATGGAAAAAAAAAAAAACAAACCAAAACCAAAACCACAGCAATTTTGAGAACAAACTACTGTAGATAATGTAAAATGAAAAATTTACTTACTATACCAGAAATTCCACATGCTGGCATTATTCTCTCCTACATTTCCACTAAACCAGCACCTCCAGAAGAAACCTTCATGATGGAAAGTGGCCTTCTCTCCCTATGAGCAGGAAAAAATACACACAAAAAAAGGCATTATCATACAACTGAAATTAGATGTTGAGGTAAAAAACACCACCATCATAATGAAACTCAGCCTATCTGAGTAGAGGTTAGCTATAGCATGTCTAAACAGTTGTACTTAATTTGAAAGAATCTCATATTGCAAAAGTAGTATCACAAAATACAAATCCATTTTAGAGCTAATTACAACTGGTTACAAGAGGGTTTAAAGCAGGCTTTTAAGTCTCCAGAAGGTCAAAATGAGTATATTTGAAAGTTCATACACAAATAAATTCTTAGAAAATAAATACATCCTAGAAGTCTATATATATAATTCTCGTTATAAATAAAAGCATCCATACTAACCCCAACATCTTCAGGTGCTTTTGAACATGTTCCTATTTCTGTAGCAAGAAGCCAATAATCAGTTCCAAATGCCACCAAAAAAAGCAAAACCCCCAGAGCTGCAAAGAAGCCTCCAAAAAATATCCCCACACTTAGTTTCATTATCAAAGTTAACTTACAAAAAACCTGCTTAAATACTTAAGTAAAATAAAGTTATTGGGAAAGTGACTAATAAGCTGTTTGGAGAATACAGCTCATATCTGAAGAAGTTTCTCTTCACTGACTTTCTGCCTGTGCCCTTCCTCCTAATGCCCTGTGATTCGGTTTGCGTCTCCCAGTTTGTGTTCCATGTGGCTGGCTCAAGCCTGACAGATGAAAAGGGCCTTCTATTTTAGGACACTGATGGCAGAGCTTCATTCTGTTTCTCTGTCTGGGCGAGGCCAGTCAGAAATAGCTGACCTTACCCTAACTAATCAGGGGTTGACTTGAAATATTATTGCAGTTGGTGCATCGACATCAGCGGAGATGGAGGTGCAATAGCTCTGGCCATCCACGTGAACGGTGGTAAAGAGCATGTAACAGCAGCAAGGACTTCCAAAGTTCAGGCTGAGTGGTGAATTGTTTCCTTGGTTGCTAGCAGCGAATAAAATGCATGCAACACTCTAGAAGTTACTACGTTGTGTTACTAAATGAAGGTTGAGAATTTTTTTATAGTAGCCAAATTGGAGAGATGCCTTTGAAAAATCCAAACTTCATTGGTACTACTGGTACCAATAAAACCACTGGTAGCTATAAACATTTACATCTTATTGTTAATGTAATAACTTTAACAACACTAAACTAAGAATTTAACTGCTTTTTTATTCAGATGCATCTTATTTAAATACATCAGAAATGCATGCAATTAAAAATTCCTCCCAGCACCTGATAAGAAAACCTCACTCTTTCTTAAAAAATAAGACACTTTCCCATGCATGTGCTTTGGCCATTTTGGAAGGTCATGAGGTAACACATTTAAATTCCAGGGACTCACTCCACAAGAAAAAGGCTTTTTCAACAACTTCTTTTCATGCCAAAGAGGCCTTCCCAAACATATCTAGTGGATTACAGGGCATGCTCTATAGAGACTTGTTGATCTTACACTATGCACCAGATTCTGCAGTCCTTACCCAGAGCAGAAAATATTCCACTGACATCTCATGATGGGAAGTGCTGGGATCAAGAGAAGGATGAAGTCAGTTTACTCCAGAAAATGCGTCACATAATTTTACTGCAACAGACTTAGGTCTCCAGAGGGAATCGTTATTCCAATATCCCAGTATCTCTTTGGAGAGTGCAGCAGTGTGCTCAAGGAGAGCAAGGAAAAGACCTCTCCCCACTTCCAGACAGACAGATGGAACCAGAAATGTGTCCTCAGTGTTTTTATAACGCTCCATTATCTGCCTAGCACCAAATTCACATTTGTTACAACTCATATTTTATTCCAACCCAATACTATACTAACTTCATAAATAATATGAATATATTGTGGCCTTTTTGCACCACCCAGTTTCAGTGTATGCAGAACAGTAAATGATTTTTCAGTCAGACTCTTTTTGCCATATTTACTTTCCCTGCATCCATTGATGCAGCTCCCTTTGCTACAGCAGAAAGTGATCTTTCAAAACATCACTTTAGAAAGTAATGTTTTATTGCTCTTTATGAAAGAAAAAAACATCTTCAGGAGAAAGAAAAACACATTGAATGTGCTATAAAAGAAAATAAGATATGCCTTGCTGTTCAGAATAATGCTTTAACTTTTGGTCAGCCCTGAAGTGGTCAGGCAGGTGGATTAAATGATTGTTGTAGGTCCCCACCAACTGAAATATTCTAATCTATCCTATCCTATCCAAAATAGAAGGAAGGAAATAAGAAAAAAGGTAGGATTCAGTTCAGGACTAACATACTCAAATTTAGACAATTAGTCTTTCCATTATAATCAATAACAATATAGCCAATACAGTCAGTAGAGTCTGGAGGGCAGTTCAGCACAACCTTAATAAGACTCAGAAAGCTCAGTATAATCACTCAGGTGGATACCCAGCTCTAGTTACTTCCCAGGGTATCCTGCTGTCTCTCAGCTGCCACTCCAGAAGGGCATATTTCTCTCCTCGTTTTAACCACACCTACCAGCACCACGCAGTGGTCTTAGGTACCTTTTTTCACCTCATATGGCACTAGGAGCCTACATGATCGTGACTGATCAAGCCTGGACAGAGGGATACACTTGCCTTACTGCCATTTCTCACTATTGCATGCTCCAGGATGTCTAAGGCATCTATACCTGGCAGGCAGGTATGACAAAGGGACTTAGATGAGACCCACACCTTGAATTACAACTATAAGCCAGGTTCACGCCACCCTAAAGTGGTGCTAGATACCTCTGGTTAGATGGCTGAAACCAGTCTCCACTACCTGGTCAGATCACTATTGAGGCACTACTGAGTGTTTTCACCAGACTTTCATCAACTCTAACAGCAGCACAGATCCCTATTTCACTTGAAGATCTTAATCTGGAACCAAATCCTACTCAATGGGCTGGAGTTCCTAACCATTTTGCTGTTGTATCAGTGGCTTTACAAAGCACTGTCTCAATGCTGAAGAAATTTTATTCAGTGAAATTCAGAGATGTAGATAGTCACAACATACACAAAATCAGTAACAAAACGTTCTTCCTGATATCGATTAAAAAAAAAGAAAAAACAAACAAAAAACCAACCAAACAAACAAAAAAACCCAAGCCAAACAAAACATGATAAAATTGGAATAATTCTGATATGCTTTTTAGCATAATGCCAATTGGCGCATCTTAATGAGGATTTTTTCAGATACGTGTTTATAAACTCCAAAATATCAGTTGGACAGATGGACAGAGCAATGTATGAGTAGAAAAAGGGACAAACCTGAAGTTGGTACATTCTGACAGTGAAAATAATACAAATACTTTTCATTGTCATGCTTTAATTCATAATTCCCAAAGCTCTTTTCAAAGATGGTTATGTGCTGCTATTCATACCTGTAGCTAAGGAAACTGTGGCGAACAGTGGTGAAATGACTTTTTCAACATTACATCACAAGTAAAATGAGAACTCCAGCCACCTGACTCAGCCACTGAACCACAAATAATAAGAGAAATAAAATGGCTGGTTTCAGTCGTATTACACCTACCTGGCTTCAGGTTAGAAATACACCAGTGAGTCCATGAGCCCATTTCTGCATGAAAGTAAGTTACTCCCATGAGTAGCTTCGCTGAAATCAGCTTGCATAAAAAATTTCACTGAATTCAAATGACAGCTCAACCACTGGACTGCCTGTGCAGTACACATATTTATTTTTAATATACTGTACATGCACTCTGTTTTCAGTTCAGCGTGTTCATCCTGAGAGGATCTGATTTAATTATTCTCTTTTATATTTATGGCACATTCTCTGGCAGTGCTGTCTTCCAAATACTCTAACATCTCTAGTAGTATGCCTGGCTATGTTAGGAATGAATCAGAAGCCATATTAAGACTCGTTATGTCAGCTTAAAAATTCATGTTATCCACTACTTGAATACTCATAGAAAGTCTTGGGGCACTTTTTCTTCAATTAAAGTAAATTCTGAAGGTTCCTCAATAGAACAGAGAAAGCTCCAGGACAGGAAAAGCAAGGACAGGCTTATCAAGAAAAAAACCAACAAAACATTACTCAATCTTAAACAAGGTCATGCCCCAACTCCTTCAAAACCTGCTAGATTTCTACGGAAAGACTGGCATCTTAAACCAAAGTGACTTAGCCAAATTTATCCCTACTATAATGACAATTAAGTAATTAAATCAGTTTTAATGTATGATCAGTTTGGGCAATTAAGCCCAACATTAACTGATTTTGTTGATTCATAATGTGAAGACTGAAGGCCCCCACATAATAGGCAGATTCCAATCTCATTTAACAAAGCTGGCAAAAGTTTTATGATTTTATTTCTGTTTTATTTTCCAGATAAATAGGGCTAAACTAACTCCTAAATCTGCATATTTTATTTATGTATCTAAATAGCTCCAGCTTCAATACAGTATCTGTGCCCCTCCTTGTATTTAGAAATAGGAAGAAGAAAAAGCAAACCAAAACAACCGCAGGCTGTTTCTTTCTTCCTTTTTCATCTGAATGAAAAAAAGAAAGCTTGATTAGTTTATGGGAGGAGGAGGTTGTTTATTTGCTTGTTTACATTTGTGTGTGATTGATTAAATGTCTTGTGTGTATGTTTGGAATTGGCAGGCAGCTCCTTATCTATGCTGGCAGACATGTCCATGATCTAAAAACAGCCTTTTAGAACTGGCTGTGTGTCTCACTATACACCAAGAAACAATTTCAGCAGCTGCCTCAGATCTGAGTCCTTCTGAGACCTCAATGCCCATTTAGTGTCTAAGAAAAATATTCTGAACAGCAATGGAGTATCTTACCTGCTGATTCAGATCCTCACCCTGTCCATCTTCCCCAGCTGGGTAGCATGTTATTCATTGCACCTATACAGTCAATTGGTAGTAGTGTGCTAGGCAGACACAGGGTCCACCTAGTACACCTTGTCCATTAAATCTTTAGCTGGGATTCATTTTACCTAACACTAGACAGCTGCAGAGTAGCTGTCTCCAATTAAGCTGGTCACCTCAGGTTTCCTCTACAGTCATATCAGCACTTTTGTGGCATAACCCATCTGACCTATTTTTGGATGACTACTTCAAAGTGCAATTACTTTGGGTTTGTTTTTTTTTTCCTCCACTGATTAAAATGGGGCCTGGAATAACTAGTTTGAGATATGACCACTTTAATCTTAATACTACAGTAAATCAGGCCACAAATCACAAAAGGACCGAGGCTGGAAGGCACCTCTGGAGGTCATCTTGCTGAAGCCCCCTGCTCAAGCAGGACCACCTAGAGCTGATTATCAAGGACCATGCCCAGGCAGCTTTTAAATATCTCCAAGGCTGGAGACTCCACAACCTCCCTGGGTAACCCATGCTAGTCAGTGTTCAGTCACCCTCACAGTAAAAAAGTGTTTCCTGATGTTCAAAGGGAACCTTTTGTGTTTCAGGTTGTGCCCATTCCCTCTGATTCTGTCACTGGGCACAACTGGGTCTGTCCTCTTTATACGCTCCCTCCAGGTATTCATACACATTTAAAAGATCCTCCTGAGCCTTGTCTTCTCCAGGCTGAATAGTCCCAGCTGTCTCAGCTTTTCCTCATAAGACAGGTGCTCTAGCCCCTTCATCATCTTAGAGGGCCCTCATTGAACCCTCTTCAGTATGTGTGTGTCTCTTTTGT